CTCCCGCACCTTGCCCGCATTGTGGACGGAAACCCGTACTGATGAGCCATGCCGCCGCGCCCACCAGCCAACACGAAGCATACTAAAGCGTTGGGACCTAAGCAAATGTGCCCAAGAAGGTAGCGGCAAAGAAGAAGACCATGAGTACCGCCAAATTCGCTCCAACGACGCCTCTCCAGCTTGAAGCGGTGGTTTTGTCGATAGAAGTGGACTCCAATCGCGCTATTTACCTCGGAGATTCTATCGCCGGGAAGGGTATGGCCTACGGATCGGGCATCACGAAGCTTGCCGGGTTTGCGAGCATGACTCAAAACGTGCGCGATTTTGCTGTGCAATACGGTGGAGACGACTCTCGCCATGCCGTGTTGTAGTACAAAACGACTTGTCAGAGCCGGTGGGCGTCTCAATTCAAATGCTACAAAACCCACTTGAGAGCGAAAGAACGGCAACACGGGGTTTGGAATCACTGAAAAGATGCTGACGAATCGAGTTACGATTTGTGACATGATCGAGAAGGCGTGTCCGTTCTTCGAGCGGATGGACGCACTGTTCGCAGAGCAAGCAAACGTAAATTCAGAATCGCAGTTGCGATGTCACGTACCAGATCTCAGCGATGACGAGGTACCCCTACCTGACGATTAGCTATCGAACGAGATGTTAGCTACAGCGCCGAAATTCAGCATGATGAGGACCATGCGTTCGACTACCCTGATTAAAGATTGGATAAGGCGTCTTCAGACGATGAAAGCAACAGTGATGAAACCGTACGCAGTGTTGACACGGAATCAGTGACTGACCACCGTATCAATGTCATCCACAATCAGGAGAGCCACGTCAACGCAAGCGCAGACGCTCACTGTGATGATGGTAACGTTGACCAGGAAAATCGGCCTCCAAGAGGAATGACCAGAGCCGGTCGCGAAGGACTGTCGTTTGTTACGACTGTGGATATCGCATCAACAACGGTATCCAATAGAGGACCGTTTCAAGAGATACTCGATCTTCAAAGCCAACCGAATTTAGCACGGTCTTCAAGACTGCGCCAACATGAGCATGACGAATCTATCCCTCGTATTATTTGCCGATAAACACCTCAGGGGCGTCCTTCGGCTGCACAGTCGAAGTCAACGACAGCGGCATAGCCCGTTGGAGCGGCTAAAGCTGCAACTAAGGCAAAAGAAGCTGACAAAGTGAGCATGTTAAAGCGGAAGGAATTTGGGTCTGTGCTCACTGGCGAGGCAGAGAAGACGAGACGAGTGGCAGAGAAAAAAGCAAAACTAAAGCTGGAAGCAGAAGCCAAACAGCGATGCAATCCAAAATCAAGGGGTGGAAGTCCATGTTAACGAGTAGAGAAATAGCTCGAGAAGAGCGTGACCAAGAGCACGAGGATAAGCGTCGCGAAAAACGGGATGACGATCGCAGAAAATGATGGTGGAGCTGTTGCTTGGTGGAAAACTGATCGCTGAGGTGCAAGCGCTGGTAGACTTGGTTTTGCTAGCTATTAAGCAGTGCACGTTTCTCTCGCTCACATTTCTGCTGCGCTGCCGTGTCTACCTCCGAGGTGCTCCTGACCTCATCGTCATCTTCTTCATTAAGCGTGTTGTCGTCCCATTCATCTTCCAGCGCAATCCCAAGGTTGTGGAGCAGGATACAGGCTAGGACATGATTGTTGACGTGGAGGAAATCATCTTTCTTCTTAATATGCGTGCGTATTTCTTTTAGCGACATCCAACGATTCTTGAGCAACCCAATGCAGTTTTCATTTATGACTCGTGCAGATGATATGACTTCGCTGTAAAACGCACTTATTCTTTTGCCACTGATGGTAGCTTGCACATGGCGATAGGTCTAGTGCTTAGCGCATATCCAGTATCACCAATCAAATACTCTCACCCGAGAAGTATAGTTCTGGATGTTTAGCTATCGGCGTCTTGGTAAACACCGTCGAGTCACAACAAAACCTACGAAAGCTAACAGAATCCATTTGTCTGCATTGCAAACGATCTGAGCATTCAGACTGTATTGGTATTTTCGGCTGTAGTACAGCGAGCCTTGGATGTGTGGTTTCTGACGAAAGTTGACGCGAGTGCCGTCCACAAACCCCACAACTCCGCCTACCAGCCCAAAGCGCTTCTCGTGAAATGCAGATGACACAGCTCGCATGCTGCCTAGTGGACCAAGATACCCAAGCTGTGTATTGCCGTAGCAGTGCTTTCTGTACGTACCGTACGTATGTTGGAGCTGTACCCAGTCCAACTGTGTAGTCTCGAGCAAGGTGAGCGACGGAGTTTCCATTCCCGTAAGCACCATGCCACTCCAGCGTTATGGCGAGCTGTAGATCCATTTCGCGCTGCCTTTTTTTCGCCTTGTAGCTCTTCGCCCGGAAAACAATATCGTCGTGAATTATTTCCACTAGTACATTAAACGTGCTTTTGCTGACTCGAGTAAACTTTCGGAACTCCGCTTCGCGAAGGTTACACAACAGTGCATGATGCGCCACCGTGCGGACGACATTCTTGCGCTCGACAGAATAGCGAGCACACGCCAGGGTATGGTGGAGCATCACAAGCAGGGATAGCAAAGAGTCGCCGTCGGAATCGTCGGCGTCAGAGTCTGGTGAGTTTATGTTGCGCAGCTCATACAACATTGCCACCGGGAAGATGATACTCGACATCTCCGTCTTCAGCTTTTTAAAGTCGGAAAGCGGCATGTCTTCACTGAGAGTAAGGAATCTGGGTGATTCAAAGTGAGTGGTGGCACTTGACGCGGAGATAATGATTTTGTTTCAAGTGAATATAAACTGAAACCCCCAGAGTAAAAAAGATTGCAATTTTATCGCTTCTTGACTAATATATGCTCGAGAAAAGAAACACTACAGACAACGACGGTGAAATCCGCCACCCTCTGAGCGCCATCCTCCATAGTAGTTCTTTTTTTGTTTTCTCGACAGGAAAATCCGTCGCACAATTTTATTGGTAGATAAAGCGAATTAATTAGCAAAAAGCAAAGTAGAAAAACATGTGGTTATATTTCAACTATCGGGCACATCGGAATAGCTTTCCGGAAGCTTTTTGCTACGACTTCTTCTGAAAGCTCCCCCCAAGCCTCGATAGTCCGTTGTATTGTAGCAAGACGTTTTTTGGCCGCCTTGTTCTCTGCCTTAGATTCATCCATGACCTCGTTGTCCGTGCTCGCAGTGTTCGATTCGCTCGCGCCGTTATTGTCTTCGTTTGGTGTCACGCAGACGCACTCCTGCAGGCACCAGCACTCTCCATCGCCCATGCACTCGTCCCAGCAGATGCACTCCTCCCAGCACGTGCACGATTCCAGCCGTCCACACTTGCTACAATATACTGATGCTGCGTCATTCGCCGAGTCTTCAGTAGTTTCAGCCACAAAGTTCGTCTCCGCTGATGTCTGACAGGCACTTTCCCGTAATTTTCTTTTTTAAAGGTCCCATGACCCCAACGTCTAGTGGCTGGCAGACCGCTGTACTGTTGGGCGGTAGTTGGCAAACCAGGGCCGACGTTGTCTCGGCAACAACATTAAGTCCTTCTTTTGAGACATGTGCGTCGAAGTTATCAAGTATAAGCACTGATTCTGCCTCGATCTCGAACTTGAGCAGCTCTCGTACATATATCGCCCACACTTTGGCATCCATCCAATCGTTCTGCTGCACTGAGTATACATGACCAACCGGATATGTTGGTAGCTCCTCTTTTTCGATAGATCCGCCTGGCTTCGGACGTAAAATAAAAAGAATCGGAAGTTTCTTTCCTTTACACATTTATTATATTTAGTTAAACAAAAAATAATGCAAAAAAAAAAATACGAACCGTCAGCACGAGAGCTGTCAATCGCCCGGAGTGTTTTTGGGTCCGCTTGACCTTGGCTGATCCTTTCCGACCTTTCAAAGCCCAAATTTTTTAAGGTGGCATATCGAAATACACTGCTGTTTCATTGACGTTGTAGATTGCGTCTAGAGGAAATGACCCATATTCATCCCAAAACTTCACGGTAAACTGCCAATGCGTTTCGATCATTTCGGCTTGATTCTTTATTGCGAACTGTGGCTTTTGCACTGTAAATCCATGACTTTCACGCTATTTTAAGAAAGTAATTTTATAAAACCAACAAAATCAAAAGACATTACCGTGTTGCAAACCGCTGACATAGTCTCATTAACGCACTTCGACCCTTCTCATCGCTTTCCTTACCAGCAAGATACGTTTGAAGCCATCGCGGCTGCTGCTCTTTGAAATATTGAATCATTAAACCTGTACACAAATACTAAGAAACTAGCCGTTTTAGGTCACAATGTAAAATAAACTAATGACAAGACGGTTTACCCCTTCTTCTCGCCGCACATCCTTCATAAAGGTTACCAAATCGTGTGAGAAGGATATTAACGGCGCTGCGCCCTGGCCCTTTAAGGTTTTGCTGGTTTGGGCACCTGCAAAGTCTTGAATGTTTTCCTTATCGTTTAGCCAGTAGCGAGGAGTCGTCCGAGGGATATTAAGTCTCTTTGATGCGGCTTGGCAGCTTCCTAACGCCTCAGCAGTCGCGATTGCTTCGCGCTTGGTTAGAATTGTATAGGAGCACTGGGGCGCCATTTCCAAAGTGATAAAAAAATTAACTGTACATGCAATGCTGCCCGTAGGAAGCAGTCAATTCAATTTACTCATTCATTGGCTAAAATAAAAACTTGCTCAAATCTTTTATTTTGAACTTCAAATGTTCGTGGCGGATTTGTATGGTATGCGGATTTCACCGTCGTTGTCTGTAAACCCCTCTATTGTGGTAGATTACAAAGTAAAGAGTTATTAAAAAAAGGTGTGTCATACTTCACAAAGTAAGTACTGTACCAAAATGCGCGTACAGTATCTTGTTGGCCGTGTGCGATAACGTAAGTTTATAAAATAATGCGATACAATTACTAATACAGTACAACATGTACGTATTAACGTTAGTAGTAAAGGGTGGCGTCACACTGACAATTCTTATCTTTGTTATCAATAGGTTACAGGAGCGCACTGCAAAACTTGCAAAGTTCACCTTCGTTGAAAGCGAAAGCTAGCTTAGATGCATAAGCTAGTCTGTAAGTTAATAGGACGGTGCCTGTCGTCCAAAGGGGAGCTCTCTCGGTTTGCCGTCTTTGTCCGTGAACAGCCACTTCTCGATAGCTTGAAGCGCTGACGGCGTCTTCTGTGGCGTAGCAGCAAGTGGTCGTCCAGTTCGTCTGGGACGGCGTTGAGCTGACGCTGCCTGTGTCTGACGTTGTTTAAACGGGAAGAACTGAGTCGTTGCCACTCCAGTGTTCTCTTCTGCCTCCGTCTTAGCGACAGGCAGTGAAGCACTCGACGGTGCAGTTGGCAACAGCCAATTGGCAATTCGTTCGGACAGCGAGTTCACCTGCTTGTCTGTATCTACGACGCGCTGTCGCTTCGTTCGAGGAGCTTCCATGTCGATATTCATCGACACGTTCTCTGTACTCTCTCGTTTCCGTAAGTTAGCAGGAAACGACGCCACAGCCGAGAATCTAGTCGACGCTGTACGCTCCGGAGTCTTTTCAGGCACAACTTCAGTCCCTTGCAACGACTTAGGCTGCAACATTGTTGCGTTTCTCGGCAACTCCACGAGGTTCTGATGTCGTCCAATGAATAAATGCAGTTCGTTCGCTTGGTTCTGTAGTAACTCTAACTCTAACTCCAAGGCCGAAATCTGTAACCCATTTAGAAAATATCAGATTCTTTGTAAAAAAAAGAAGTAAAAAAAGTTGCCGTACTGGCGAGCGTTGAAATTGGCAACTGAGCAACATTTCGCTGATTGTGGCTTCTTCGTGTTTGTGGAGCACATGCCATTTTGCCATGGGCCGTTGGTCCTGCAGTCTCGCTAATGGCAAGATCAAAGTCCCCACGATAACGTCAGCGCCAATCCTTTCCTCCTGCATCACGTCGACTCTTATCGTCCCCACTGCCGCTGGGAGGCCGTCAAAGAGTAGTGTTTCGCCCCATCTAGGCGTGTAGCCGACTGGTTGTTTTGTTGTCACTTTCTGCTCCATAACTGTAGTGCTCTGCAACTGTTCGTCTTCGTTGCTGTTGATTGCCGCAGCTGCCACAACTTCCACTGTGACACGGGCGTATGTGCGTTGGGCCGAGAGGAAACCCGCTTTGTAGAGCATGTTACGTCCAGACTCCACCTTTACCTCGAGCCGAGCAACGCTCAGTCCGTTGTCCAGGCGTTCATCCACGCCTGTTATGGCATTGAAGCGCAACTCGTGCTGCAGTTGCCGTAGCTGCGCGTTCTTACTGGAGCGCGTCTCTTCTAGGCGGTGGATGCGCGCCGCGACGTCTTCCACAGCGCTCATGGTAGGGGCAGAGACAGCAGTCGAAGAAAGAGGAAGGCAACAGATACAAGACTCTTTTCCGACTTTATTTCGCGGGGGCCAATCAGATTGCGAGGAGGCAAAGAGAAAAAATCATTTTTAAAACTTAAAAATAAAACGGAGATAGACATTTGTAGGGGCGAGTTGTACATTGTCTACTGCTGTTTGCAGCAATTCTGCAAAGACAAATTATGCTGCCGCACCTTAGCTAAGATACTTCATCCAAAGCTTCTTTGCGAGTACGACCAGTGCTGAAATCGAGATCTTGCTGCTTTTTCTTACAAAATGTGTTCATATTCTGGTGCAACCTACCTAAATCGTCGAAGCAGCCACAATTTGACAAACATTATTTCAGATTGGCCTTTTCCACTGATCAATTGGTCAAAATTCCAATCGCTTTATGATTCGCTAAAATATTCAAATTGGCAACAAAAACAAGGAGCCCGGTGGTCTCTTCACCAGAGCCCCCTCGTCCGCCCGTTCAGTGCTAGAAATCCCTCACCCGATCGATCATCATGCCCGCCGAAGACTCTAAGCTCAAGACCACGCCCCTGGACCCGCGTTTCCCCAACCAGAACCAGGCACAGCACTGCTGGACGCGCTACAACGAGTTCGTGCTCTGCCTTAAGAACAACGACGGCGACGAGGACACGTGCAAGAAGTACTTCCAGAACGCCGCCTCGATCTGCCCCAGCTCTTGGGTACGTTCTTTGCTGCGATTGTGACCACCCTTTCAACAATATCCTCTAACGCTTTATTGCAATTTAACATCAGATGGAGCGTTGGGACGAGCAGCGCGAGGAGGGCTCGTTCCAGGGCGTGCAGTACATCAAGGAGGACTAAATGCACTCGGCCTCTTGATGCTGCGTCTTTTATCTCTCTCCCCCTACTCCCTCATGTATGAAGGCTCAAGACTTTGTACTGTCAGCTCTGGTTAATGGCAGGAAGTAGCTCGAAGCTCTTGCGGAGCTACATCCTCTTCATGCTCAAGAGACGGCGTACATTGACTGCAATTTTTTTCTCTCAAAATGATCATTTTGTTGTCTGTGGCAACTTTGCCATTGGGGGCCTTCATTACATCCGCCGAGTTCATCATTAACCTGCAAATATTAACACACACCAAAATAACTGCCAACATTTGCCACCTCACGTTCGCCTTGCACTTTTCAGTAGAATGGCTCGCGCTCAATCGCCTACTGTTAGTGTCGTTTTTTCTAACACATCTCTACTTTTATTTACCAACCAAAAGGAATGAAAATGCCGAGTGCCCTGTCCTTCGAAGTGTTGGGGCGCCACCATCGTGCACGGGCTGCGACGCTCACGCTACCACATGGAGAAGTCCGCACACCCGTCTACATGGCCGTAGGCACTCAGGGCGCGATCAAGGGCTTGACGACGCAGCAGATGCAGGAACAGCCCGTCGACTGTCAGATCTTCTTGGCCAACACATACCACTTGGCACTTCGTCCTGGTACCGAAGTGCTTGCTCAACTGCCTGGCAAACTGCACGAATTTATGCAGTGGCCACGCAACTTACTAACTGATTCTGGAGGGTTCCAGATGGTCAGTCTCTCGAGACTGTGCCAAGTGTCGGAACATGGCGTGCAGTTCGAGAGCTTCGTGGACGGCTCCACCATGCTCTTGACACCCGAAGCGTCTATCGCTCATCAGAACCGTATTGGCGCAGATATCATCATGGCACTAGACGACGTCGTGTCGAGCTTGACAGACGACGATGAACGGTTCAAAGAGGCATGTGGACGCACAGTGCGTTGGCTGGATCGCTGTATCCAAGCGCACGCTCATCCAGACAAACAGAACCTCTTTGGCATCGTACAAGGAGGACTCGATGTGAGCGAAGGAGGGTTACGGGATCAATGTTTAACCGAACTTATCAAGCGAGACTTGCCTGGTTACGCAATCGGTGGGTTGGCAGGAGGAGAATCCAAGGAGGCGTTTTGGAAAGTTGTGGCAAAGTGCACCGCTCAGTTGCCGGAAAATAAACCTCGGTATCTCATGGGGGTGGGGTATCCTCTGGATCTCGTGGTGTGCTCGGCACTGGGTGTCGATATGTTCGATTGCGTGTACCCCACTCGCACTGCAAGATTTGGTACGGCAATTGTGCCTTCGGGACTGCTAAAACTCAAAAGTGCCAAGTGTGAGCTTGATAGCCGACCGATTGACGACACGTGCGAGTGTTTCGTGTGCAAGAAGTACACACGGGCGTATCTGCGTGTGTTACTGAAGAAGGAAGAGACGTTCGGAGACGCAGAGGCGACGACTGGCAGCATCGGAGCACATCTCGTCACATACCACAACGTCACGTACATGCTGAACCTCATGCGTCGACTGCGTCAATCCATTATCGACCGGAAATTTGAGCAATTTGTGCAAAATTTTATGTTGCAACAATTCCCAGAGCGCAATTACCCTCAATGGGCAGTCGACGCCTTGACCGAGGCCAAAATTTCGCTTAACTAGGCAACTCACAACATAAGTGACAAATAATATCAGAAACCTCTTGCTGGTTGATAATATCACGTTAACTTTCTCCCCCTACGGTTTTTGTCAAAGGTAACTAACAGACATTCTAACACTACGACGTCTCTCCTCGTATCATATCCCCGACCGCCGAGTCTTCACATAAGTAGGGGATGCCGTGGAGTTCTTGGTGATGAAGACGCTGGCAACTCGACATCAGCTCGGTACATGCATACACAAACATATTTGCCACATACAGGCAACCCGTAAATCTCGTCGATGACACAGAATCCGACAATTTATCTTGCGCTCTCTTTAAAAGCGTAGGTTGGGGTTGTGAGGTAGTTCTCCCGTTGGCGACAACTGCAAGTGTTGACCTTGTTGCTGTTGCGCCATAAATGAGTACGAACCCGTCGAGCCTGAGTTACTTTGCCCGTTTTGGGAAGGAGGATAGTGCCAAGACTCCGAAGGCAGAGTCGTCGACGTTTGTGACGGTAGAGTCTCGTCCAATCCTGCGCTTTCCAGCAACACATCAATGTAATCACGTGGCTGTTGAGTCGACTCTTTTCGCTCTTGTTGCTCTTGTCTTTGTTGCTGATGATAACGTTGAAGATGCTGGGGATGAGTCATCGGAGGACGTTGCTGGAACGTCGAGTCTCCGAACTTGAATGGCATCATCATGGAGTGAGATTGCGCCGAGGTGGAGTTCGCATTGACACAAGTCGGCCATCCGCTGCTTGTTTCAGTTTTAATACTGGGAGATCCGTACCCCGACCCCGCATAGATATTTTGACTTCGATTTATCATTTGTCGCGGCATTTGTTGCCGTTGTTGTGGCAACTGGTACGACGTGTCTTGGTTAAATGAGTTGGAGGTCACTGGGAGCACCGCCGACGCATCGCTCTTCATATTCGAGGCAAAGATCGGCTGCGGAGACGACGACGAGCCGGAAGACGCCACGAACTCTTCGATCTGACTGATCGAAATGGATTTTCCACTCGAATAATCCGTCAGAACTTGGTCACTTCGACGTCTCCCGAGGTTAATCGTGTTGCGGGGGCCAAAGCCTCCGTTTACACCACTTCCAGGCATGTTCATGGCCGTGGCCAGACCAAAAGAATCGCCGAATCCAGGCGGTGGATTCTGTCGTTTGCCGCGCCCAGCTTGGTACGGATAACGTTGCTTAGCTTCTGCAATTTTCTGCAAATACATGAATTGTTGCTGAGCCGACGAGGAAGTGGCCGTAGCTTCGGTTCGAGCCTCCATTTCGAGCTCAAACTCTTGTTCCGCGGGGGTTCCAGCGCGTTTACGGCCAGGTAAGGAGCCTGCAGCTTCAGCAGCGGCCACTGCCGCAGCTGCCGCTGCAGCCATCCCGAAAGCCTCCGAGCCAGGGAGCATCCCTGTGGAGTGGCGACGGCCAGCAGCTGCGGAATTGAGGAAAGTCACGGTGGCGCCCGATAAATTGTTGGACTTTTGACGTTTTAGCGCTTGTTGCGTGGGTAATTGACTGCGTGCGTCCATTAAATCTTGAGCTTCGAAGTGGTGCGCTCGTGCGTGCTCTTGTGCTTGCAATTGATTCATGAGATTAACGGGATTCGACGTGATTGTGGCGGCCATGGCGGACATAAGCGCAGGATTGGCGCGCTCCTTACGCTTTATAAACTTCATGCGGTCTTTATCGGCGCGTAAGAAGAACGGATGACTGAACGTGCAGATGTTTGTCTGTGTTTTGGTCCATTTCTTAAAGCCAAAGTAGTTGAGTTGTCTCTGGAAACTCGACACCTTGTTGTGTTTGAAGTATCTGGGCAAAATCTGGATTGCCAGTTCATCCGGCTGGATAATCTGGAACGCCGTGCCCTCATGGGACCAGGTGATGATGTTCGGGTCTTCTGCGTCCAGGATCTGATACAGGAAGCGTAGGAACTTTGGGACGCCGACGTTGCGGCGCTTGATCACGTGCACTTCGGCTTTTTTCGCTTCGGTTGGCGTTGGATTGTGTTCCGCGTTGATGGGAAGCTCCTGCTCGTGTTCGGGCTCTTCTTGGGACCCCACGAGTGAAGCCTGACGTGTGGCCATTTCATCCATGCCGCTCGCGGTGTCTAAACTGTCGCGGAGTTCCGATTTCAAGCCGAAAAGTGGAAAAGATCCGGCGTCTAGAGTTACGAGCTGCTGAGACTGCGACACCCGCTGTGGGCTGCTAAAGAGAGGCGCAGGGGCCGGAGGACCCATGCTGCTGACGCGCTGGAAGCAGGTGGCGTCGGAAGTGGCGGAATTGCTGCTGGAAGCGCGGTCTCTCTCGCCGAGCATTCTGCGTTGTGCATCCTTTCAAGACCCAAGAAATCTTCTGGGAAAAGACTTCCACATTTTGGAATGTTGGCTCTGAACCAATAGAAAGGCTTCAAATTTCTTTTTGACTAATAACATTACCCGCCGTTTCTTTTACGAAAAGATCATGGAGCTTTTGACTACCTACATGTAATTGCTTTTTGGAAACTGTTTATCAAGTAGCCAGCGTTGCTGTTGCCTGTAGTCAATGACTGCAAGTGGTGACACCTGTAGAAGACGCAACGAGCCACACATTTAACGGATATATGTCAGTGCGCAGGAGTGAGCGGAACAGGCAGAGGCGATGACTTATACATGGGATATGTAGTCGAGTCTGTATGATGCACGGATGTACCGGTAAGCGCGAGAGAGAGCCCGCGATCTTAGAGGATAAGCTTCTAAAAATGTTGCTAAGAAGAGGCGACTCATCTTACTGGATTCGCTTTTGAGCCAGTACAATCAGGCTGACCAGCATTTTCTACATCTTAAGCGCACGCACCAAGACTTTAGTACATGCGTCTCGAGCGTATAATAGAGAGTTACTTACGCCAGCTACTGGTCAGAAAGAGGAGCGTACGAGTGGACGCAGTGGACGTTGAAGCGAGAAAGTATCTTGCGAGCTAGACAATGCGACGATCGGGTGTCTGAAAAAGTGTCCAAAACAAATAACTTCAACATGATGTGCATCACAGTAATTATAGTCAATCATTTAAGCACATTAAGCCTCTACTCACTAGCACAAATACAATAACCAAGTCTGTTCACAGACAGACTTGGTTATTGTATTTGTGCTCATCGTTTGTCTTATCCAGTCAAACGATGGCGAACCTCGCGCAGCAGCTCTCAAGGCTGCAACTTGGGCCCTCGGGGGCACGACACCGTCCCTCCAAGCGCCTCAACGACCCACCTCCCACTAGTATCAACATCTCCTCTATCACTCTACAACGCAGCTCGATCCAACGATCACTATTCGCGTCGCTACACTGTCCCCGGCAACGCGTCTTGGCCCTCCGAGACGGGCCCGAAGCACATATCAACGGCCAAGCAACAGGTTCTTTGCTCTCCCTTCCTATCTTTCAAGTCGCATACGCTCACAGTAAGAACCTTCTCGCGGCTGTGGACGAAGAGGGGGCGGTAGGAGTCTTCAATATGGCCGCAGGTCGTCGGAAAGGCCGCTGGATGGCTCATCACAACGCCGTATTCGACGTGATTTGGACGCAGGACGACACGCAGATACTGACAGCAGCCGGTGACTTGGAAATTAGAATCTGGGACGTACAGACTGCAGGATCGAGCTCTAGTACACCTGTATCGACTTTAAAAGGACACGAAATGAGTGTCAAGTGCGTCCGTCAGGGCCCGGATAAAGCGCACATGTTTGCTTCAGGTGGACGTGACGGAAGACTATTACTCTGGGATACACGCGCTCCTGGGAAACCTGTATCTTGTCTAGAAAATGTACATGCAGAGCCTACATCATCAAGGACCTCATCGTCTAACGTGAACTTCACTTCGCCCATTCAGAAACGAAGACGACGAACTGCAGCTGCATCGTCGACTTCCCCTTCGCCACGCAGCGTCACGTGTGTCGAGTTTACGTCAACAGGCAACGAGGTCATCACAGCAGGTGCTGTGGATGCAGTAGTCAAGTACTGGGACCTTCGACGTCTCAGCAACGAGAGGAACAAGACGGGAGCTAAACTGCCAATTGCTATACGTGAAATCTCGTGTTCAAGTCGTGAGGGAGCTCGTCGTGGTATTTCATCGCTAACTTTGCATCAGAGAAGGGCTGGAGGTGCGTCTCGTCTTCTTGTAAACGTAGTGAACGACTCGATTGTTGTGCTTGACACACAGCAAGCTCGAACAATTCTTCGCTGTTCAGGGCATCAAGCCAGCTCCTTCTATTGCAAAACTGCCTTTAGTCCTGAAGGAAACTTCATTGCCGGTGCATCGGCAGACGGCGTTGTGTATCTCTGGGACGCGCGTGTAGATGCCTCATACGACGCAACTATACCGTCTTTCTACTCTGGTCTGAGTACGCAACAACGCGCTCCTTGTTATGCGTTGAAAGGTCATACAAATGAAGTGAACGGAGTTGCCTGGAGCTCCCAGGATTCCACTCAGCTTGCGTCTTGCTCGGACGATGGCACAGTACGTTGCTGGCAAGTCGGTGGAGGACACGAAAATAGCGTGGAATCTCCACGTTTCGAGCTACAGATAGCGCCAGGCGATAGTTTCTCGGACCGAAGAATGGGGTGGGCGAACTGGAACGAGTTTACGGACCAACCAGACGGGTATGCGTACCGTGTACGAGGGTACAAGGCAACAGAACCCTCTCATTCTTTATCTCCCAGACGCCAGAGAGTAGAAATACGCTATATGCAACGAGCGTCTCCTCAAGTCACAAAACACAGCTCGGAGCCGCGACTGCATCCTGTCCATGAGGCTCCCATAGCGCAACAACAACCGCTACAGGAACCTCAAACGTCTCAGGAGACTCGTCCACAGTCCAAGCTAAGAGTCAAACTTCGACGGAAAGTCAAGCCCCATGTCCAGCCCAAGCGAGGTCAACGTACGCTACTCGAGCTTTGGGGTCGATAATGTGAAGTGGTAAAACGTTATCGTCAAATTGACAATAGAAGGAGATAGAGAATATGGTACGTAGGTCGATTTTCGAGTCAAGTTTCAGTTTTTCTCAACATTTTTTTTTATTTTGGGCTGTTGCTGTTTACAACACATCTTCCTCGAACGCCTTCTCCAATACAGCGAGCAGTTTGTCGATGTCATTTTCGTCCACAACCAGCGGCGGGCACAGGCGGATCGTGCTGTAAGTAAAACACATTAAATCAAATTAGAAAGTTGCATGCAACACACCCAATGCGACAAAACTTACTTTTCACCCGCAGAAATGAGGAGCACCTGCTTGGACAGCGCGTACTCGATGAGCGGGCCCACTGGTTTGCTGCATTCAAGAGCAACGAACAGTCCGCCCTTTCCGATCGGTTTACGGACATCCACGACCTGGTTGGGGAATTTCTGCTGCAACTTTTGCAGACCGTCCGCCAAGTATTTGCCACGCTTCTGCACGTTGTCCAAGAAATCTTCGTCCATGATCTTAGTCAGCACAGTGTTGGCCACAGCACAGACAAGCGGATTGCCACCGAACGTCGTGCCGTGCTGGCCAGGAGTGATAGCCGACGCCACCTTGTTGGACATGAGCACAGCGCCGATTGGCAGGCCGCCAGCCAGCGGCTTAGCCAGCGTCATGATGTCCGGCGTCACGTCGTACAGTTCGTGTGCAAACAATTTCCCAGTACGGCCCAAGCCACACTGCACTTCGTCCGTAATGAGCAGAGTGTCGTGCTTATCACAAAGTGCACGCAACTCGCTCATAAATTCCGGGTCGGCGGGGTACAGACCGCCTTCGCCCTGCATGGGTTCAATGAAAACACCCGCGGTTTTGTCCGAAATAAGTTTCTTGACACTCTCAATGTCATTGCGTAGTGTACACCAGGCACCAGAGGCATAAAGGCCTCGCGGATCTTAGGCTTGTGTGTGAGTGTCAATGCTGCCGCGGTACGACCGTGGAAGCCGTGCTTGAATGAGATGAATTCGAACTTTTTACCCTCCAAAGGTCTGTTGCATATGCAAAAAAAAATGGTTAGATAATCTTTTTCAGTTGCAAAATTTGCAACTTTTTGCCACTTACGTTCCCTGGGAGACGCGGTTAGCATACAGACGCGCGAACTTGTAGGCACCTTCGTTGGCTTCAGTGCCTGAATTGGCGAAAAAAACCTTGTCGAAGCGAGAGTTGTCCACGAGGTTCTTAGCCAGTTCCAGTGGCGCCTTGGAGTGGAACAAGTTGCTCACATGCGTCACCTTTTTGCCATTTTCCACGAGACTGTTGTACCAGTCCTCATCGCCGTGGCCAAGACCAGAGACAGCGATGCCGGCGTAAAAGTCCAAGAACTCGCGGCCCTGCTCGTCGTACAGTTTGCTGCCTTTGCCGTGTGTGAACACGAGACCAGACTCGCCGCGAACGCCATTCGAATTGTACGTTTTGGCAAGATATTTCTGCTCGTATGTGTCCGCGTTGAAGGGCTTAGCTGCAGCAGCGAAGGCACGCGAGTTGCTAGCCACGCGCTGCAGCGACTTGGCCGAGCGAAGGGCGGAGGTTAGCATGGTCGAATGGTGGCGTTAAACAGGGGGAAGCGATGTGGAGCTTTTCCGGTTATGATTCATAACTTATGAAACGGAGGATCAGCGGATACAAAGGCGATACAGTATGTCAATTGGCGTTCCGAATAAATTCGCGTGGACCCCATTGCTCCGCTCATCTAATCACGATATAGGATGTTTGTAATCGAAATGATAAGCGGAAGCGATCGGTTCGAAGGTTATAAATGAATATCATCACTTATCCGACCTTACTTAAGTTTTGTATGCTCCTGTACAGCCTATTACAGAATTTAAATTTATTTTGGCCAATGGAAATACAGCATTACCTGTATTTCCACCTCTAGAATTGTGAAGGGTAGGGGGTCATCTTAACCAGTCAATCCGACGTATCGGGTCGGAAGGATACGAGAAATATATGCATGCCTATTCTAAAACTAATTGACGGACGTATCACTTGCATATTTGCAATACATCCGACAGGATGGGACTGGACGAGCTTAAGCCTGGAAACACAAAACGAGCTAAGGCAGCCGCCATCGCAGCGTTCAAGGCTTTTGTAAAGAGTGAGTCTGTATACTTTGAGTATGTCAGGAGTTGCATTGCGAAAGATGATAGTGGAGAGTCATTTGTGTCTATATTAAATATGTTTGGCATGTATATTGCCTTTAACGAAGGCAAGAAGGGTAAACAGCTTGCCCGCAACACTGCCATGCAGTATTATAGACAGACTAAGATGTGGCTTTTCGAGCTCTTCCCCACGCAGCGGCACATTGTCGAGGCAAAGTTGCTAAGTATGGGGAAGACGCTGGAGAACTTTTGTATGAAAAGAGACGGCAAGGTAGTGAGCAAGGCGTCACCATGCACGAAGGCAGATTTGCGTAAAATGATGCTATACTTGTATCAGAATGCGACTACCTCAAGCGACTATCAAGATGCAGCGCTACTATGTATGCTGTGGTATCTGTTTGGACGCGCTTCCGATTTCTCTCTCGTCCAGAAGCAGAATCTCACCATTGACGCCGCAGACATCCTGTTCGTGCGCTTCATTCGGCTCAAGACTTCTGAGGAGCAAGGCTTGTCGCTGTTTCACGACGAAGACTTCATCACGTGCCCGGTGTACGCTATGGCTCTGGCACTCATGGTGCAATACGCTCCGTGCGTCGACTTGCTCGATAATCTGCCGCCGCTTCCTGTCGAAGCCTCTGTCTTCTTGTCCCCCGTGACGCCGCTCCTGGAGGTACTCGACCATCCTGATGACTACGCTGCACTTGGTGCTGTGGCTGCTGCAGCGGACGGAGTAGTCGTGACTGGAAAGATGCCAACCATTTACTCCCACGTTAACAGAGTTCTTGACCGAATCGCTGTCGCCGCTGGTATCGAGGTCGCCCTCTCTTCTCATTCCTTTCGCCGAGGCGGAGCGCAGCACGTCAACGGTTGTGACGGCCTCACGCATCGCTGGATTTTCGACCGTTGTGCCTGGAACATGAGTACAACAAACAAGGGGTTTAGCTACATCTTCAACACAAGCCGCGAAGATCACAAGGTTAGCAAGGCTCTCAGCGGATACAGCACAGAAGCGAAGGTACCTTTGAAGGACTTGAAGGCCTTTGATGCACACACACAGGAAAAAATCGCAGCTGTCCAGGAGTTTCTCTTCGCGACGTGCCTAAGGCTAGAACGAGTCCAATACAACGCGAGTCACCGTGTTCTGGACGTTCTATCAGCTTACCTGTTGCTGCATTATCCCCGGCTAAAGCAACTTCATCCTGATGGACCAGCTGTAAAACGCATCGAAGAGTGCGTGGTTTTGGCAGGGTCATCACGCGCAGACTTGTTGGTTTGGGCGTCCCACCTGGCTGCTCAGAATATTGCTGCGAAGACACGTCTGCCAGAAGACAAGGAAGAAATACATCCCACATCGAACCGGTAACCAAGGCAAGAATGTGATACCATCGAGCACCAACGCCGTGTCATTGACCAGTTAGTTCTACTTGTTAAGAGGCAGGATGAACGCATGGATCTTCTAGAAGCGAAGGTAGGAGGTGCTGTGCAGCAACATACAAGCAGCAAACGTCAACATGATCCTGAACCCGACCCAGTCAAGCCAACCAAGCGTCGACGGACTTCTGTGACCTACCTGCACGTGACATGGTACGCTTCGTACGCTCAGGAACCCCGTGTTTTTGCCGCTGCAAGCAAACAATAACGATCAAGCGCGAGGCAGCTCGTCGGATACCTGAAATTGTTTCTTGGAGATGGCTTCTCCCTCAATCCAAGCGCATGCGACTATCGTGAGCAAGTTTTGGCGAGAGGAAATCAGGCTGAGACAGCGGTAATTACCTTCCTTCGTGAGCGCAATATCATGTCACGTGGGTCCACTGCTGTTCGAAAGCACCGTCATGGCCTACACGCTGCTGGAGAACTTAACGACATGATCACACGCTACCATCGTCTGGTTAATGCTGGTGCTGTTCAAGATCCTGATAGACAGGACCCCCTTCAACCTGTAGCTGCAACATCGTGAGACACAAGCATTAGTTACCGTTACAATATCGGGAATTTCGTACACGTTCTTACTGCGAAAATGCGCACCCTGTTTCAGCACCACAACCACCATGATAAACCCGCAGTGGCCGTACTGGTATGCTAGCCCAATGGTGTCGTGTAACCCGTACACGTGTCGTGTAACCCGTACAACCCATACAAAGGGTGTCGTGTAACCCGTACAACCCACACAAATGGTTTCCGTAGCCTGGGTACACGCCACGTAACCCTCACGTGGTGTCGTGTAACCCGTACAACCCACACAAAGGGTGTCGTGTAACCCGTACACGTGTCGTGTAAACCGTACAACCCATACAAGGATGTCGTGTAGCCCGTACAACCCATACAAGGATGTCGTGTAACCCGTACACGTGTCGCTTATCCCATTCAAGTTGCCTTTACACAATTTAAAACGGGAAGATGAACTATGCACGTCCGTTTTCCGACTTGCAGAAAGGTGGAGGCCCTAGCGCTCATGGAGGTACAAGGCTGGAGTACTTCGGAAGCGTCGCGCCATCTGAATATAACCCGAACAACCTTGCTCGGGTGGCTCGCAAAACAAGACCAGCTTCACGTTCGAATTGACAACGGCATTGCGGTCAATCCCGGCCCCACACCCAAGACTTGTGAATTTGAAAAGGAAATTGCTAACATGATCAAGTTGTTCAGTGATTGTGACTCTAAATTGACTCGTAGTGCTATTCTTTAAGTCTGTGGCCAAAGAATTCCTGAGTTCAAGAGATTGTCGTATGGGGCTCAACGACAGTGGCTGTTAATACAACTCCGATGCAAAAAAACTCCGACGACTGTGGTGTCTTCGCAATCTACTTCATGAAACGAGTAGCAGATGAGTTTATGAAAGGGAATGACCTTCGACTTTGCAATGTAGAGAAGATCTACATGATTCCAAGATCGGCTCGCTTCAGCGCATCGTCGTTTAAGAAAGAGATCAAAACGATGCTGACTGAAGGTAACAAGGCAATATGCACTGCAAACGTTTAAGTCTAAATAATTCAGTTCAAAAGTGAGTGAGTTAAACTTATGGATCAGCTCGATGAAAGTGTCAACCAGCCAGTTCTCGCACTCGAGGGATCAGCAGAGGCCTGACACCGGCGCTTCGCACTGGCGGGGCCTAGGAGAGCGACACCCAGACCGGCAGCCTGCCGGCCGCCCTGCCGGGCAAGCCTCAAGCTGATCCGCGTCGCTAATAGCATGCTGCCGCTCCTCTTCACCCGCCTGCTGCCGCTCCTCACCTCCTGTCGCGTCCAGCTGCTCTCCACCTTCCCCACGCAGCCGCCACGCCGCCACGCCGATGCCGGCGCCTCTGCTCGCTTGTGTGAAAATAAAGTGTGTGACCGAGTGTGGCCCAAAGCACCTAATGTGTGGTCCACAACATAATGTATAAATAAATATATTTGTTTTAACAGTTCAAGATGTGATGTTCCCTAGTTTTGGTACAGGTCGGAGCCAGTCGGAGGTCGGATATATTATGGTATGGTATAATATCCGCAAGATTCCAACCATGCATCGTGTATGAAGAACTGTACTCAGCCAATCCACCAATTAGATTGCAAGATTAATGTGATTTTATCCAATGATGAAGTCTTAAAAAGTAACCACCAATTCCTACCAATCCGACCATATTTAGTTGGAATTTTTTCAGAATATGCTGTACTCTTTACAAATATCCATATAGTAGCATATTCTAAAAATATCAGGAAGTTTCCAACCCGAGGTGGCGGTTGGCAGCTGTTTCCTAAAAGACATCATTTTGCAGAGCTGTGACCATGTCTATCGCGTCGCTAGCGCCACCTAACAGTAAGAAGGCCCGGGTGACGGCGATCAACTCGTTCAGCACGTTTCTTTCTTCAGAAAACATCACACTAGAGCATGTTCAACAGCTTATCGACGCTGACAAGACCGGTAGGGTACTTCAAATTGTGCTAGATAAATATGCGTATTCTCTAGCTAGATCGACAGACAAAACTCGATCTACCAATACATGTCTAGCCTATTTCGGAAACGTAAAGAACTGGTTGATAGATAAATACCCACAGCAAGGGGGGACAGTAAAGCCCCAGCTGCAGAAGATCCTGTCTGGGCTTGGTAAGTACTGTACCAATCGCGAGGATGGGGCTTTTGAAAAGAAAGCTCCACCGTGTTCCAAGCAAGATCTAGAAAATATCGCTCGCCTACTTTATACTTCTGATTCTGCTGAGAGTATCTATCCGGATGCAGCTCTGGTTGTGATGCTGTGGTATTTATACGGACGTAGCTCGGACGCAGAGCAACTTGAAAAAAACCAGCTCTCGATTTTACCTGGTAAGATCATTGACTATTTTATTTCTTTATATATTGACAATTACGCTAACTGGAACCTTGCAATATGTAGGTGGCGTACTCTTCCTACGCTTTAAGCGGATTAAAACAGCTTTGCTACAAGGTGTATCCTTGTTCAAGGACCCGACAAGTTTTTTAACTTGTCCACTATTCGTTTTAGCTGCTGCTCTAACCATACAGAATGCGCCAAGCAAGCGTCTATTTCCTCAGTTTACCAGTACAAGGCATATCGGAGCTAATGCTGGCGATGTAGAAGACCTCAGTCTCGTAGAGCTTCTCGAGGCAGACGACAGCCCCGCATCCTTACCAGACCTGCAACAGTCGCCAGCTACCAGATCGGTTCCTGGTGCACAAGCGTACGTGAACCGATAACTGGTTCGAGTCAAGAACATTGCAGATCAGAAGCAGGTCAAACTCACACAAGGACTTACCTCCCACTCTTTTCGTCGAGGAGCTGCCATGCACGCCAACGATGGAACTCTTGCAGAAAACTGGATTATAGAGCGGGGCGGTTGGCAGCTTGACCGCGTCAATAAGGCGTTTGGGTACATGTTGGGTACAACGCAGGCAGATCAGCAAGTTGCGCGTGTCCTGAGCGGATGGAAACCAAAAGAAGGCGCACGTCTTCCTTCGTTGCGTATCTTGGAGCCGTCTGTGCTGTTCCGCGCCCAAGCACTGCATGGTCTACTTTTCACGAGCTCCCTGGGCTTTGCAGAGCCTTGCATGAACCTAAACGAAGACGTAGCAGAGGTCTTGTCAGCCACCCTCATCATGCACTACCCCGACATGCTGCTGCTCTCACGCGAAGGAGCACTGGTTGCCCGCATTCGGGCGGCCATGTCAGCACGAGTCATCGGGGAAGCGGAAGTACTTGCATGGAGCAGCACAATCCGCCGTGCTTTCATGCCACCATCAGCGATAACCAAGCCCAGCGTTAGCGACTCTTACTCTGCTGAGGTGTTAAGCCTCATGAAGCGCCAGTCCGAGCAGATCAGCGTTTTAATCCTGCAAAATCAGCGCCTAGAGGAACGACTGCTAGCTGTAGAGGCGAAATTGCACTCACCGTCGGCTCCAGCCAAAACTGTTGCGGGTTGTGTATCACAGCCTGACCAACAAATTGCCATCCGAACTGTTCGTCCGAAGAAGAAGGGCTCGCAGTCTCTTGCAGCAGTCTGGTACGAATGGTTTACGGCCGAGCCCCGCGTTTATGCCTCGCGCTCTGTGAAGAAAACGACGCTGTACGAGCTTAGACACACCGCAGGCTACATGATGCTTTTCTTACCTCATGGATTTTCACTTGATGCTTCGTCTCCTGCGTTCAAGAGTGAGGTGGTCGCGCTTAGTGAGAAAGCGCAAGTGAGCACGCGGGACTTCTTGAAGACGAACGGGTCCTCAGCAGCAGCAGCGGGTACGGCACTGAAAGCCCTTCGCAATCTACACAAGGCTGGAAAGCTTGACGCACATATAACCCAGTTCCACGAGCGTGCCGAGCGTGGTGACGTTGTCGATCCAACACCACCTTCGGCGCTGCCAAAATTCATCCGTAACAACCCCCCCCAAGCGCTGAACCTGTAGTACACATAGTACAGTTAAGTAACAGCACCAGATCTCACCTTACGCTTTAAACAGTATAATTCCTGGCAATAGACAACAGCTTCCGCACTAACGCATTATCTTATATTACAAACAAAGCTGCAACAGCAAGTTAGAAACGACATGCTCACTCATGTTATGCAGCAGCAAAGACTTACCATATTTAATACTAGTGTGGCCTCGATGTAGGTCGTAGATAGTCTTCGGCCGCATCCAGCAGCATTCCGCTCGCCCTTACGGGTTCTTTCACTTCACATGATTCATCTACGGGGATGGCAACGGCGGGAGTAGTGAGGCGTGAGTCCCTGGTAGTGATGCCGCGCGCGTAGAGGTGCGACCGAGGCCTTGAGGTCGCAGGAGGGCCGTAGAATTGCGCTCCGCCCTCACCGCTGTGCGCTCGTGGCCGTGGTTTGTAGAATGGCTGTGGGCCCTCAGAGAGAAGGGATTTTTTAAATTTTTTTTAATTATTATGGTATGGATCCTGAGCGACAGAAGAGAGTTTATCCTCTAGATGAGCGTGGTTCTCATTGGTCAATTAGCTTCAACGTCGCCAGGTTACAAATCATGCATTTTGGTAGTTCTCAACCCATACTGGTTCTGACAATTCATCCTAATTCCCGACCATCATGCCACGGTCCTTAGCGCTACAAGTGTTCGCAGTAGAAGGCATCGCTCGCTCCATCCTCTTCTACTTAGACGCGCCCAGTATTGACGCTACTGTGCACGTGTTCCAATCGACGTCCGAGCTGCACGGATATCTGCAGGACAGTTCGCTATGGACAGAACTGTCAATTCTGCATTTCAAGGGGCAACGAGACTCAGAGCTGCGTTTCCTGGCGCTACCAACGCGTGATCGGGGCTGGGACTGGATCACCAGAGACCACACGTGTGTGGAGCTACAGGAATTCCTACAGTCCACGGACGAGCGGACGCAATTTGACGAGACAGTCAAAATTCTGGAAGGCGACATTGGCTACATCAACTACATCGACGGCGTGCCTTTAGACGGCATCGCGTTTCCCACCAATTCGCACCTGACCAATCACTATTCGGGTGCAGCCCAGGCCGTATTCCGTCGAGCAGGTCGCGGCCTTGCGGACCATGTAAACGATCCGTCTTTTCGAGGTCGCCGTCCCACGGGATCTGCTGTTGCCACTCCGGCATTTGGAGCTGGAGTGGAGAAACTCATACACTGCGTTGGTCCTCGTATTACAATGCCCAACTGTTTCGAACTGCTGGCTACGACGTATGAGAACGCCCTGAGTGCTATTTTGCACGAGGAGTTGAAGTGTGTGACGATGGCATCGATTTCAACGGGGAACATGGGCGTCCCGTGTGACGAGGGGGCTCAAGTGGCACTACGGACGATCCAGAAGTTCTTACGTGCGAATCATTGGACCGGAAAACTCGCTATTGTGTGCCACGAGGAGCCTGTGCTGAAGGCATTCGAGAACCAGAAACAATTTGTGCTTGAGCGGTTCAACGAGGCGCTGGATTTGCCTGTTGTTTCTCATGACGATTTACCTCGCTGGCCATTCTAGAGTGATTGGGCTTAACCCTGGGGTTAACCCATTGTTTTTAGCCCTTTATTTTTTTTACTTGAAAAAAAAGGTGTTACTGAGTCCGGCCGTTTTAAACATGTTGCGAACTCCTTTAGCGGATCTTAATAGTGAAGCAATAGGCTAACCACGATCAGCACAACCAAGGGAGATGGAAGTGACGATCTGCGTGTTTGCACCGGAAGTTGTCGACACTTCTGAAGCCGGAGAGTTCCCAGCCTCAGCACTGGCACTTGCAGTTGAAGTCGCGACTGGAGGCACCGTAGTGGTACTAGGAGCTGCGCTCGTGGCGCTCGGGGATGCGACCGAGTTGGATTTGGGCGCCAATTGACCCCCGCACGTCTCCACCATGTCCTCCACCACTTCTTTATAGTTCTGACCGTGAGGACCTCCAAACATGCAGTCTGGTAACGTGTTGACCAGGTTGCCCACGGCGTCATGACACGTGGAGTCGCAGGTCCAGACACCTGCGTTGGAGAGATAGGCGGCCCAACTGACACAGTTGGTGCGAAGCGTTTGCACGGCAGCGGAGACCTTGGAATAATTGTCACCGTCACAGTTGACGGTGTCGAAATTCTCTTGAGACGTGTGAGCAGAGGAATTCGTGGAGTCGGACGTGGACACTCGGTGGTCCCCGCACGTCTCCAACATTTCCTCCACCACTTCCTTGTAGTTCTGACCGTGAGGACCACCGAACGTGCAGTCCGGTAACGTGCTGACCAGGTTGCCCACGGCGTCATGGCACATGGAGTCGCAGGTCCAGACACCTCCGTTAGAGAGGTAGGCGGCCCAGCCGGCGCAGTTGGTGCGAAGCGTCTGCACCGCAGCAGAGACCTTGGAATAATTGTCAGCGTCGCAGGTGGTGGCGCCAGCGTGTCCTTGGAGAGCAAAGGCGGAGGTGAGAAAGAGGATGGAAGATCGGGTGGAGACCATTTTGTTGTTGTGGGAAAGGTGAAGTGGTTTCGTAAGTTGTTGTCGTTCGGGTTGCTTTTGTCAAGGCAAATTCAAATATGTGATTGACGGAACGTTCTCCTCTACATGTAATATGCTCTGGACAGTAGTGAGGAAGGACTGTAGCTAAAGTTATCGGCAGAATATGAAGCTCATATAACTGCTGTAGCTGTATGTTACCGATGGTTATCATGTGTAGCAAATCCCGGATCTGACAGATTTTTGCTGATTCATTATCAACAACTGGAGTGTTTTTTGTGGGAGATTGCAGAAAGCCAATGGACGCCATGAAATAGTTCGTCTACATGTATACTTCGTAATCTTCGGACTGTCATCAAGTAAAACTAGATTTCTTTTGATACCGGGACTGTTGAAGTCGGTAGACAACTTGTTGATTTCAATAATAAACCTAATCACAAATTGATTTGATCTCATAGGATAGTGATTTTTCGGGATCCATGCGAAGCGAGGAGATTGTGTTCGGCATTACTGAGAGATGCCGGTGTTATCGAACATTGCTCTCAAATCAAATGGTTTTGCAAAGGGCTCAAA